ACATCACAAACACACACGCTCCCTATGCACGGCTCGTCTGCAACAGCGTGTGCCCTCGTGTACCAGCGTGCATCACAGGGCAGGTTCAACTTCCTAAACATCCTACCTGTCCATCTGCCTCACGTCAGCACGCCGCCCCTCGCCTTTTCACGCTCTCGCTCCTTCCTGCGTACAGCGAACACAAGCCCCTCCCACAGTGCGGCTGATTAGAAGAGCAAGACCAAACGTGAAGCAAAAACGAGTCTAAATTTGTGTTCCAGTGTTGGCACAAAGCAGGTCTACAGCATAGAGCGGATCTACAGAACAGACCTACTGCCACATTTGGCTGAAGTTTGTCTAACAAAAGTGCACAAGTGCATCTGTGTTTGTCACGATGTGCGTTTGGTTTGGTAAATGTGCAGAGGCTGGTAAATATCACTGCAAAACCAGAAAAGAATGCAACTCCAGTTTGGAACTTTACAGAACAGGTTTAAAAATCTTACCTACTGCCTTCACTTTTTTCACAGTTTTGTGTAAAGTGCCAGAGGAAGTTCTCTTAAAGAAGGGGTTCACAAACTGTGGGTGAGGGTCCAAAAAAGGGGCACAGAGTGTTTCAGTGCAGTTTGTTTGGCGTTGTATTAGGTAGATCATTATGACTTGGTTATTTTGGAAGTAGCTCGCATGCTGAAAAAGTGTGAGCACCTCTGCCATAGAGTATGAGGTGCAATAGTGTGGTGTAATCTATAATGGGCGGGGGCGGTGCTGTACTGCTCGGGTGCAGGTAATTTACATCGCTATAGCAATTCTTAAACAGATTGACTGGAACATATGAAAAACAAAATGAGGTTTGTTTTTCATATGTTCCACCTGAAGTGCTTGAGGTTAGGTAAAGTACACTTTATTGTCCCTGTAGAGAAATGTGTCCTCTGCATTTGACCCAATCTTCAGTGTCTCTGGGTTAAACCTGCATTTGACCCATCCTTCAGTGTCTCTGGGTTAAAGCTGCATTTGACCCATCCTTCAGTGTCTCTGGGTTAGACATGCATTTGACCCATCCTTCAGTGTCTCTGGGTTTGTATTGTGTGATTATATTTGTACTCTGTCTTACTTTTTGTTCAAATTTGATGCATTAGGTGCCTAACAGTCGCACGCGTGTGTGTGTGTGTGTGTGTGTGTGTGTGCGTGTGTGTGTGTGTGTGTGTGTGTGTGTGTGTGTGCGTGTGTGTGTGTGTGTGTGTGGTTGTGTTGATTTTGTTGTTTTGTTTTTATGAGTTTATGAAGCTGACTGTGAGCCTTACTGTATCTGTCTTCTGCTGTTGTAATTTTGAGGACCCCCTCAAAAACAAGATGGCCAAACATCTCAAGAGGCTTATCCTCCAAAAAAAATAAATAAATAAATTCAAATATTTGGATTGGATTTCAGCATTGAAAGTGGAAACCCAAATGAGAGACTCATTCTTTCTGATTGAATAATCGTCTTGAGAACCAAAACACCAAATTGTAACTTGCACAACTTGGTCATAATGTCCAATGTTTTTTTTTTTTTTTTTTTTGTAAATAACAATAAAATGTAAAAATGTAGTGGTTGTTTTCAGGTCAACAGCTCCTTTTTACCTTTAGTTCAGTAGAGATTGGCAATTCCAGGGTTGAAATGATTCTAGTGAGTTTATAAGTTTAAAAACACAATGGAGCACTTCCTCTATTACCGCATGACATCACAAGGTGGAACAGAATGGAGTGTTTTTGTTTGAGAGAAGAACTCAGCCTAAATCGGCAGGATTTGTGTGTTAAACATGTGTGAATGAAATAAAACCCAACTCCAGGTCTGTTTGTGATGAGGAAACTACATTAAACACTGGAAAATCAGAAAATAGTGTGAGCCCTTTTTAAAGTGACAGTCTGGAATTTTGGACATAGGACTTCATTTTCTTCCACTTATCCGGGGCCGGGTCACGGAGGCAGCAGCCTAAGCAGCTTCCTTCACCCCAGATACGTCCTGAAGCTCCTCCGGGGGGACCTTGAGGCGTTCCCAGGCCAGCCGAGAGACATAATAAGCGAATGGATGGATGGATGGACCTCATTTCCTAGTGAGCCAGAGTGTTGGAGACGTGTGGAGACACTTTTTAAAATATTCCATCCAGTCCTTGTATTTGCAGAGGTTGCTGGTGCTAGGCTAGTGCATGTCAATGGCCATAGTTATCCTGCACTAAAAACAGTCTTACCCACTCCACAAAACACCCAAAACAAATCTATTATTACTCCAGACTGTCAAGGTAAATGTCTGTGTTGATAGAATAATGTTTGAAATAAAACTAACCTTGCATCGCATGAATCGTTGCATGTTGAGGGACTATTTTCTCATATATCAATCCGCCACTGCCAAGCTTTCTATCAGGAAGTACAACTCACTGCTGCTGCTCAAACATAAATCCTTCAAATGCAAGGTTGGTTTTACTTCTAAAATGATTCTATCAACACAGACATTCACATGGACAGTCTGGTGTAAGAACAGATTTTCTTCGGGTGTTTTGTGGAGTGGGTAAGACTGTTTTTAGTGTCAGGCTAACTATGGCCATTGACATACACTAGCCTAGCACCAGTGACCTCTGCAAATATTTTAAAAAGTGTCTCCACACGTCTCCAACACTCTGGCTCACAAGGAAATGAGGTCCTATGTCCAAAATTCAGGACTGTCCCTTTAAATGCAAGAAGATCGTGAAGAAAAAAAAAAAAAACATAATGAGTGGGCTGCAGATGTTTAGTCAATAACAAATATGAAGACATGTCGTTAAATGCAAATGTGTTTTATTATACGTTTGAAAACCTCCTTCACTTGAGCTTTGAGGTTTGGATCTGTTTTCTAATTTCAGTTCTTCTCTCTCTTTGTCCCCTCTCTCATCCTCCTCTCTTTCCTCTCCCCCCTCTTCTCTCGCTTCTTTCTGTCTCCCTCCTCTCTCTGTCTCTCTTTCACTCTCTTTTCTCTCTTCTCTCACCCTCTTTCGATGTCCCTCTTTTTCTCTCTCTGTCACACACCTTTCTCTCCCTCCACGTCTCCCTCTCTCTCTGTCTCTCTCTTCCCTCTGCCTTCTCTCTCTGTCGCCCTTTCTCTTCCTTCACTTTTCTCTCTCCCTGTCCTCTCTTTTTCTCTCTGTCCCTCTCTCACATTCTCTCTCACACCCCCCACTCTCTCTCTGTCCTCTCCCTCTCTTCTTCTTTCCTCTCTCTCATCTGTCTTTCTCTCTCTTTTGTCCCCTTCCCTCTTTTTCCTCTCTGTCCCTTCCCCCTCTGCTCTATCTCTCTCTCATCCCGCTCCCTCTCCTTTCTATCTCTTTCTCTCTCCTCCCTCTCTTTCTATTTTCTGACCCTCTCTCACCTTCCTCTTTCTCTCTCCGTCACACACCTTTCTCTCTCTCTCCATCTCTCTCTTTCTCTCTGTCTCTATCTCTTATTTCTCTCTGTCCCCTCTCCCTCTCTTCCTCTCTCATCTCTCCTTTTCTCTTTATTTCCCTCCTCCTCTCTCTCTTTCTCTCTCTCACCCCCCTCTCCTATTCCTCTCTCTCTCCTTTCCCTCTCTCTCCCTCCCATCTCTCACCACCTCACTCTCTCCTCTCCTTTCTCTCACTCACCCCTTTCTCTCTGTTCCCTCCCCTTTCTCCTCTTCCTCTCTTCCTCATCCCTCTCTCTCATCTCTTTCTTTATCTTTCTACTGGCCTCCCCTCCTTCTTTCCTCTCTCCCTCGCTCTCTCCTGTCTCTCATCTCTCTATCACCCATCCCCACTCTCTTCTTCTCTTCTCTCTCTCTTTCTTTCTCTCTCTCTAACCTCTTTCTCTCTCCTTTCCCTCTCTTTCACCCCTCTCTCTCTGTCCACTCCCTTCTCTCTCCTCTCCCTCTCTTCCTCCTTCCTCTCCCACCCTCTCTCATCTCTTTCTCTCTCTTTCTCTCTGTCTCTCACCCATCTCTCTCTCCCCATCCCCCTCTTTCTCTTTCCTCTCTCTCATCTCTCTCCTTTTCTCTCTATTGCCCTCCTCCCTTCTCTCTTTCCTCTCTCTCTCCCTCCCTCTCTCCTCTCTCTCATCTGTCTCTTTCTCTCTCTCACCCCCTCTCCTCTCTCTCCCTTTTGTCTCTCCGTCCCCTCATTTGTCTCTCTCCTCTCCCTCTCTTCCTCTTTCCTCTCTCATCTCTTTCTCTCTCTCACCCCCTCTCTCTGTCCCCTCCTCTCATCTTCCTCTTTTCTGTCTCTCATCTCTCTCTTTTTCTCTCTATTCCCCTTCTCCCATTTCTCTTTCCTCTCTTGCTCCCTCTCTCTCTCTTTCTCTTTCTCTCTCTCTCTCCTTTCCCTCTCTCTCACCCCTCTCTCTCCCTCTGTCTGTCCTCTCTCTCTTTCTTTCTCTCACTCTCTTTCACCCCTCTCTCTCTCTATCCACCCCCTTCTCTCTCTCCTCTCCCTCTCTTCCTCTTTCCTCTCCCACCCTCTCTTATCTCTCTCTTTCTCTCTCTCTCACGCCTCTCTCTCCCCTATCCCCCTCTTTCTCTTTCCTCGCTCCCTCGCTCTCTCATCTGTCTCTTTCTCTCTCTCATCCCCCCTCCTTTCTCTCTCTCTTACCCTCTTGCTGTGTCTCTCTGTCCTCTCTCTTCTCTCCCTCTCTCTCTCTTCCTCTTTCCCCCCCTCTCTCTCTCTCTATCACTCCCCTCTCTCCGTTCCCTCCCTTCTCTCTCTCCTCTCCCTCTCTTCCTCTTTCCTCTCACTCATCTCTTTCCTCTCTCATCTCTCTCCTTTTCTCTCTATTGCCCTCCTCCCTTCTTTCCTCTCTCTCATCTGTCTCTTTCTCTCTTTCATCCCCCCTCTCCTTTCCCTCTCTCTCACCCTCTTTCTCTGTCTCTCCCTTGTCTCTCTCCTCTCCCTCTCTTCCTCTTTCCTCTCCCTCATCTCTTTCTCTCTCGCCCTCTCTCACCCCCTCGCCCTTTCTCCTCTCCTTCCCCTCTCTTCTCTTCCCCCTCTCTCTCTCCCTCTCTCTTTCAGGTATCTCCATGCCCATCCCGGTCCTCGGCCTCCGCGATCACTCCAAAGTCTTCAAAGACGGCAGCTGCCTGTTGACGGACGACAGCTTCGTCCTGGTGGGCTCCTTCGTGGCGTTCTTCGTCCCCCTCACGATCATGGTGGTCACCTACTTCCTCACCATCAACGCCCTGCAGAACGAAGCCACCTTATGCTTGGACCAACTCGTACCCCGCCCGAAGTGGAGCACGACGTTCACTCTAAGCTTCCTCCCGCAAGCTTCGATATCGTCGAGAAGCTATTCCGCCGATCTTTAACTCGCGAAACTCAAAGCGGCAACGTTTCTGGACCGACTCACGGACGCCGGACGATGCAGTCGATCTCCAACGAACAGAAGGCGTCGAAGGTGTTGGGGATCGTGTTTTTCCTTTTCGTGATCATGTGGTGCCCGTTTTTCATCACAAACGTTCTCGTGGTCGTTTGCGATTCGGAGATGTGCGATCCCAACTTGATGTCGGGGCTCCTGAACGTGTTCGTGTGGGTGGGGTACCTGTCCTCCGCCGTGAACCCCCTCGTCTACACGTTGTTTAACAAAACCTACCGCGCCGCTTTTTTACGCTACGTGCGATGCCGATATCACCCGGAGAAAAAGCCGCTCCAGCTGATCCTCGTGAACACCATACCCCCGTTGGCGTACAGTTCCACGCAGCTGCCGTTGGGCGACATCGGAAAGTTACGCAACGGTGTAGGGACGTTTAGCGACGCCAAGAAGTTCAGGTTACCGGGGAGGCAGCAAGAAGACAGGAACGAGAGCAAAGTCTAAGCACAATGGACGAAAAAAAAAAGTGAAAAAAAGTGCCTCCTGAGTTGGACTTGTGAACATTTTAAAGACGTTGTTATGCTAAATGGACTTTCTGAAGGTTTCTGAAGGTTGACCCTTGTTTCCTCATCAAAAACTCAATCCATGCATGTTTGAGTAATCTAGAGGTCTCTCCCAGACCCTTTTGGAACCCTCTTTATGTTTAGCTGCAGTGGTGGAATAAGTGTCCGAGTTTGTTGTTTAAGAAAAAGTACAGATACTGGAGCAAAAAAACAAACAAACAAGTAAAAGTATCACCTGAAGAAATGTACTTCAAGGTGCACTTCGCAACTTTTCTAGGGTCTGTCACCTGCTTGTCTCCATGGAAATTTTATTGCTTTATCTAGAACAGAGGTCTTCAGCAGGGGGGTCATGAAATATTTGGTTGATTAGATGTTTTGAAGGATGAGGAGGAACATTTTTTTTTGCGGGTTCTGGCTATTCACTCCTTAATCACGTTTGCCTTTGTCTCTTCGTCTCCTCATCTTTCATTCCCGGTCAAACTGCAAACACGTCGGCCTGGATTTTATCGTTTCTTCTAGGCTACATGTGAAGAGTTCCATTACAGCTTTACTTTTATGCACAGTGGAGCTCGAGCTCTGCACGTACAACCGCGCATCAGGAAGAGGTCAGGCAACTTCATTCTCCAGGCTCCACACTCTTCAGATCAGAATGACCAAAAAAGTTCGGTGTCCCATATCAAACTGTTGTCCGTGCGCTGTGGCTCCTCTCTCGTTTAGTTAAATCATTAAAAAAAGTCACACTTCGAGCCCATTTTCCGTGATGTCGTTGCTCCATTGCTCTGGCCTTCCCAAAGTCACCACGAGCGAGGGCCTCTTCACACGAGAACGCTTGTGGGTAGAAACGACAAAATATTTTATCGGAAGCATCTTTCGTTTGCCAACCTAGGATGTCTTGCACCGAAAATTGGTATAAGTCTGTTCAAGTGAAGAGTCGCAGAGCCAGAAGAGAAGGGCTGGAGAAGGGGGGAAGGGCCCAGAATGAACACCTACATTCCACTGAGTCATGTCCCTTAGTCTGACACAAGCTGAACCGCATCAGTGCACAAGAGCGGATTTTTTTTCTTCGCTTAATTTATGGCGAGGAGAAAATTCAGTTATTCGACTGGACAAAAGTTAATTTGGTTGAAGACGTTCGCAGCTCATCCAAGCTGCTTCTTCTTCTGAACTGCTTGGATGAAAACATCTTCAACCAAACTAACTTTTGTCCAGTCGACTAACTGAATTTTCTCCTCGTCATGGATTCTACCTGGACGACTGAGGGATTCTTCACACTTCACTTAGTTTATGCAAATGAGCCATGCGGTTTTAAGTTTGGTTTCTGTGAGACTTGCGCAAACCTGAATTATAACGTTAAACGGGCTGATGCGGCTCTAGAGTGGTGATGGTTTATATGTCGTAAAGTTGAGTTTATTAATACAGATTAGTAATAGTAATAATAATGATGATACTTATTATATAAAAACGTTCATGATAAATCGAAAATTGATCGTTAATTCTCCCGACGATCGATCCCTAATGCATACCCAATCTATTTCCACACACTCGTCTAAACACGGAATAAAAAGTGAAGACGCGATCCCACTTTTGCGTCTTCCGTCATATAAACGTAGCCATAAACTTGAGGCCTGAATTCTCTTTGGTCAGACTTATTTCTGTCATGGAACAAGTTGAGGCTGAAACTGGAGATGGAGCTAGTTTCATCTCAGGATTTAATCACGGCAAGTGTATTTGTATAGTACAATTTGTACACAAAGCAATTCAAAGTGCTTTTTTTTAGGATAAGCCTGGACTTGTTACAGGACTTTGATGGAATATCCCCCGAGTATCGAATGTACAATACACAACACTAGGCCCAATTTAATATAAAAACACAATTGTATGTCATATGTCTATATATATATATATATATATATATATATATATATATATATATATATATATATATAATATATATATATATATATATAGTTGGGGGTCTCCATCAGTTTTTTGGGTTCCTGTCCTGAAAAACGTTGAAGACCCCTGATCTAGAATGTTCCACAGTATAGATCACAGGTGTCAAACATAAGGCCCGGGGGCTACTTTCTACTAAAATATTTAAATTATATTTTCTATTAAAATATTGGTCATTTTCTGTGGTGTTTATCACTGCAGCGTTTCCAGTGTCTCTGTACGTGGCCCCTCCCACCAGAGCAGCACAAATGAAGACTTGTCTCTTTCCAAACGCTCTTAAAGGACGATCGTTTTGACTGTTGACCGTGACACCCTCATCAGAAAAATGTCCAACATGAGAAAAGTGGAGCCGAGTGCAGGATTTTACAAGAAAAACAGACTTATTCCTATTTAAGTTATTTTTAAAATTTTGTGTTGAAATTGCATTTTTCTTAAAGTTTCAGGTTGTTCATAATATTATAATATTTTGTAAAAGAAAGAGTTCACCAATTAAAAAAGATTTCTGTAATAGATTTGTGTTTCTCTGCACAAATATTTGAACTTATTGTTATTTTTGGGGTTTATATGTCATGAGTTTTCTGATCCAGACACTTTGGGATCAAAGTAAGTTGGATACGGCCCCCGGACCAAAATGAGTTTGACCCCCCTGGTCTAGATTAAGCCTTTCTCTCACAAGAACAACAAGCAGGTTACAGCATTACGTTACAGTTCAGATCTGTGGAGAGTCGGCTCTATCCACAAAACGAATTATTGTATTTTTGGGCAATAAAAACACTCAAAATGAATAAATACCAGACAGAAATAATGAATGTCATACTATGGAACATTTCAGACAAAGCAAAAACATCTCCATGGAGACAAGTAGAAAAGTTACGCAGTGCATCTTTAAGTAAAAGTATTAAAGTACCTGTTGAACTTAAATGTAAAAAGTCAAAATTGCAGTCCTGTTCAAAAGTGTAGTGGAGTAAGAAGTACAGTCACTTTTATACATTTATACTTACTTATACTTAAGTACAGGATTACTTTTAATTCATTACATTCCACCACTGGTTAGCTGTAAGATTCTGTACAAGGCTCCGCCCACAAGCCTACGTCACCCATGCTCCTACACGACAACTCTCCACAAATATACAAAAGAGACTGAAAATAATACACTACAACTTCACAAACCTGATGTGATGTGATGAGTGTCCAGGTAAAGTAACAGCGTCACCATGGAGACAGACACAACCCACCGCTTTCCTGCACTGATGTTCATCTCTCTGTCTGTCTGCTGAGCTGATCCTCTGTACATCTATCATCCCTCTCTCTTTCTCTCTCTATCCCTCTCTTCCTCTCTCCCTCCTCCTTCTCTCAATCCCCTCTTCCTCTTTCCTCTCTCTCTCTCTCTGTCTTCTTCTCTCCCTCCTCCTCTCTCTCTCCCCCTTCACTCTCGCTCCGTTTCCTCCTCTCTCCTCTCCTCTCTCTCTTTGTCTCTCTTCCTCTCCCCTCTCTCTCTGGCCCTCTCTCACCCCTTCTCTTTCTCTCTCTGTCTGTCCCCTCCTCTCTCCCTCCTCGCTCTCTCTCACCCCTCTCTCTCTCTCTCTCTCTCTCTCTCTCTCCTCTCTCTCTCCCTCTTCCCTCTCTGCCCCTCTCGCTCTCTCTCTCCTCCCCTTCACTCTCTCTTCCTCCCACTCTGTCAGGCCCTCTCTCCTCCCTTCTCTTTATCTATCTCATCTCCTTCTCTCTCCTTCCATTTCCTCTTTCTTTTCTTCTCTCTCCACCAAAAAGTTATCTGTTTTTAAACCTTCAGTCAAATTGGTAAAACCAGAAAGAAATGAAATAAATTCTCTCATTATCGTGACTACACTTTAAACATGAACACAATTATTCAAACACATGAGTCGAGCGTGTGTGTACGTGTGTGTACGTGTGTGTACTTGTGTGTATTTGTGTGTTTGTGTTTTGTAAAAGATCATCTGAGTGTGAGAGGAGCAGAGTTGATGAAATGGTTGCATAATAAAATGCTCGGTGAACAGAAACCTCCCGATTTTGGAGCAAATTCATTCAAATGTTTCTAATCTGCTTAAGCGACGGAACAACGATGAAGACGAGGCACGGGAGCTCTGAAAACACTTCTGCTTCATCTGACCCGATCCTCTTCATCTTCTGCTTCTCCTCTTCATCATCAGCTCCATATGACCTGCTCCTCTTCATCCTCTGACCCTCTCCTCTTCATCTTCTGCTTCTCCTCTTCATCATCAGCTCCATATGACCTGCTCCTCTTCATCCTCTGAGCCTCTAATCTCCGTCCTCTGCTCCTTTGATCCTCACCTCTTTGTCTTTGCTCCATCTGACCCTCTCCTCTTCATCTTCTGACCCTCTCGTCTTCATCCTCTGCTCCATCTGACCTGCTCCTCTTTATCTTCTGACCCCGTCATCTTCATCTTCTGCTCCATCTCACCCTCTCCTCTTCCTCCTCTGTTCCATCTGACCCTTACCTCTTCATCCTCTGCTCCGTGTGACCCTCTCCTCCTGACATGTTCTGCTCCATCTGACCTCTCCTCTTTCATCCTCTGACCCTCTCCTCTTCATCCTCTGACCCTCTCCTCTTCATCTTCTGACCCTCTCCTCTTCATCCTCTGACCCTCTCATCCTTCATCCTCTGACCCTCTCCTCTTCATCCTCTGACCCTCTCCTCTTCATCTTCTGCTCCCTCTGACTCTCTCACTGAAAAAAAAGGTTGCTGGATTTGTGTAAAAAAGTTATGGAAAGCGGTTGCATGCAATAAAATTATGTTTAGGATTTGAAACTTATTTCGATCCCCCTACACACGAACGTGACTTTTTCATGTTGATGAAATTTGATCAAATCATGCTGAATATGCAGATTTATCTTACGTTACCTTATCATGAAATGTATAAGTATGTATCATTTTATTTAATTGATGTAATTCTGTAAAAGAATACAAAAACAGTCTTTAGTTTTCCAAAGTTCTGTATTGTCTTA